AACTTGAAGAATCAAATAGAATCAGTAGACTAATTTCTCGAAAAATCAGTTTCTCAATCCTTAGTGGTTTAAAATAAAAATATAGATATAATATATGTTATGTCTTGTTAATTCAACCCCAATGGTTGACTTTTTTTTCAAATTGGTTGGGCAAAGATATACCAGCAAATATAATATTAAAGATTTTTCTGAGTGGAATGCATATGCAAAGAATTGTTTTTATATTAAATGTTGCCTAGTGGGAAATTGATGTAACACTTAAAAGGGGACTGCAATTTGGTGATCTTCAATTGAATATATGTGATGTCAAAAATGTGCAATTTTTTTTTTTTTTTNNNNTTTTTTTTTTTTTTTTACCAAATTATATATGATGACAAATTACTCTATACTTTTTTCTCCAATTTGTTCTTCAAATTAAATATTAACATATATTTGATAAATACAAATTCAACCCACATAAGTAAAATCTAGCATACATTACAAGCTAATGATATTAAAATAAAAATTATAAACATAGCCTATGGTTAAAATTTGTCTCAAATCTCTGTTTTCCAAAAAATAAAATAAATAAAATAAAATAAATATCTAGAGCATTGAGACCATGAGAAATTATTCAAGTGAAAACATGAAGTCCCATTCAATCACCTAATTAGGTACTTAATTGCAGTTTTATTTTTTGTGTTTGATTTGAGTTGATGCAACATTATGGTTTACTTTTCTCCAAATGGGTATTTAATTATTATTTTTGTTAGTCAAATTTTAGCTTATTATAAAGAAGGTAGCTATTAGAGAAACAAAAAAATTAAAAAATAAAAAAGATTCTTCTAAGAAAAAGTTGTTGGTATGAACTGTGATTTTTTACGATTCGATCAACACACGGTAATGTCGATTCAATGGTACAGTAAAGTCGAATTTTCCGTATAATATTCGAATCGATCGATCGATTGTCATAGGAGAACGCAACTGAATATAACAAAAAACTGAAGAAAAATAACAAATTATATATTGACTATAAGAAAAATTATGAAATTTGCATAAGGATTCATGCAGATTAGTGGGTCTTTTCTTGCTATTACTACTCATCCAGTTGATGAGTGTACATAAAAATGCTGGCATTTTATAGTATTCAAGCAACAAAATACATACAACAACCCCCCACACTACTGCTTATTATTGAACTCAGCCTTAAAGCCGAGTTTATGTTTATATTTTTACTCAGTTAACATCCTGAAAAGGAGTTCTTGGTTGATCCTGCAAAATCTTGTTTTCACCATTTTCGAACTTATTAACTTTGGTTTTGCTGTCGGTATCATAAACGAGAGTTCTCATTTTCTCAATTGACTCTAAGCTTGGGACTGAAACCGCTCGTCTCTTGGGAGTCACATTCGTTTTCTGCTCAACCTGTTCGTTCAAGTCAAAAACATACTTACATATTCAGATTCTAAATATAGCATCTTTTAACACCAAAACAAATACTGACAATATAATTAAGTTTTACCAAGTAATCCTTATTGATGCATTGATCTGATTTGCCATGAATATCCGATACATTTTCACCATGGTTCATTGATAATGCATTGAGCTCGTGCAAGCTGGCTGTAGTTATCGAGTTTATTTCCTCGCAATTTGCCTTGTCTAAAGCTAAAGAATCTGCAAAAAAAAAAGGGGAAAAAATCAACGATTTTCCCCATTTAAATTGCTTCCACTTCATAACGTTAGAGAAAAATCAATTACCATTGGTTGATGTCACTAAATCGTTAACCCCGGAATCAAATTCTACACCCAGACGAGCGAATGTGGTCTCAATGTTCTCATGTAAGGAATGAGTTTCAAGAATTTTAGTCCTGCCAAATAAGTGAAATAATGTCATAAATAACAGTATATATATAACAACTATTTATTCCTGTACCAATTGAAGTGAACTTACTGCACAACAGATCTTATGTCATCAACACCATTCTTAGCAATATTTTTCAAGCTTATTTGTGCAGTTTCCCATTGTTGACCTGACATATCCACCTTCTCACCCCTACAAAAATACAGGAAAAATTTTGAATCCTCAAAACTTTATCTTAAACATATTTTAAGAAATTTAGCTTGTCTTAACCCAATAAAAGAATGAAATTCACTAAAGAGAATATGAGTCTACCATTCTTGCATGCAATTTTCTAGCATGACCCTGCATTCATTGGCTGAAAGTGTTTCATTCATGTAGTGATCTTTGACCTTCTCGGCATATTCGTTTAGCTCCTTCATTTCTGATGCCAAGACTTGCCGCATGTCGGACAAATCTGCTAGCAATCTCTTGCTTTCCTGACAAGCAGAGTCTTCAAGGTTCTTTGAGGCGTTAGATACCTGGAAGAATTATGTATACATTTTAGCACAAAACGTATAATTCTTTTTTAGCCCAACTGTAATAACATAAAGACATGATGGAATATATAAATTTACCATATTAGTCTTTCGAACTGTCAGAGTTGATAAGACCTCCGATATTTTCTCCATTGCTAGTTTTTCTTCCCTCAGAGCCTCTTCCTGTTGCAAGTAATTAAAAAGTTCCAATTAGAAATCAATAAATCTGCCAAAAAAAAGGGAGTGGGGTATATACAAAATCCACCTAACCTTGAACATCTTTTCGAAATTTTGTAGTTTGATAACGCTTTCGGTTCGGCTACTTTCAATAAACCTTCCGAGTTCAGAAGCTCGCCAATGGAGGTCGTTTGAGAAGTCTATAGCTGCACTTGAAATCACTTGTGCGGAGACTAGACTCTGACGTACACCCTGAGTCATATATACACAAGAAGTAAATCTCAAATTCACCATAAGAAGAACCAAGATTTGTTTAAGAACATATCCTGAGATCAAACCTCTGCTTGTTGTTGGGCAGCAAAGGACAAAATTTTCCTTTGTTCATTCAGAGAGTTCCGAATATCAGAAATGACCTCCCTGGCCTCCAAAGATGCATTATTGAAAAACTGTAACACATACCGAAACATTACATGTCTGACATAATTCGATGTCCAAAACTCTGATCATAACAAAACCAAGTTAAATTTAGACAATCTTCTTACATTCTCAACTGCAGTTGCATGGGCTGATATCATAGCCATCATTTGCTCCAGATCAGAAGATGTTTTCGTTTGAAGTGCATCTGTGAGTTTCTTTATGCTTTGCGATCCCGAAGCATAAGTCGCTGACAATTTCTTTACATTTGCTTCCATGGCTTCGTTTGACTAGTGTAAAGTTTTATCAGACATACATAGATTAGCCGCAAGACAAAATTTGTATATGTAACCCTTTTCAAGTAGTAGCTTGCCATCTTACTTCGTATTTACTAGCAAAAAATGTGCTGATGCAGTTTTCAGCATTTCTAAGCTGTTGTTCTTGCTGAGATACAGAGCTTAAGACGATCTTATGAAGGTTGTTCAAGCTTTGATCAAGTTGTGCTCCAAATTTATGAAGAATACCATGGTTTTTTCTTTCTACTTTGTCTTTATGATCTGCAAAACACTTTTGGATGAAAATTAGTACTGTACACTAAAGCCCTTTTAGCATGATGATTTTCAGACTTGTTATGAGTATATCAAGGGATAATAGATATGAGTAACATTCAAAAGAAAATTTAAATGAAAACATACTTACCTATTTTCCCAAAAAGTGCGGATATGTCCTCGGTTGCATCGTGCAAGTTGAGCCTCAACGTCTTTGCACAATCTATTAGATTACTCTCTGTGTAATGAAAATTCAAATTTCCTTCAATAAATGAGAAAATGAGAAGTAGATCACGAAAAGCCATGGTGTAGTTCGAAATTTCTCATAACCTGAATGCTGAAGTTTAGAAATGAGCAACTCCTTTTCCTTCAGTACTGAAAGAGTTCTTTTATGATTCTCTTGTAGATCTTCCAAGTTTTTGTGTGTTGTTTCTAAAGTTTGCTGAAGAAAACGACCATATAAGTAAACTTTAGTTAAAAATATCCATAATGTCAAGTATCATTTTCTGAATCTTCTCCAATACCTTGCATTCTTTAAGATCACTCTCGACATTAAGTTTCTCTTCTTGTTCACTAAGATAAAGCTCCCGAAAGTTATCGAGTTGCTGTTGGAAACCAGCAAAGGTCAGTACATACTTAGTAGTAAAATTTCAATCAGAAACAACAAGCATGAGTTACCACCTTCTCAGTGGCAGTAAGATCACTCTCTAGTTGTTCTATCCTCTCATTCTTTGCCTGCAAGATTTTCAAATCACCGTAAGGTTCAAATGGATTATAACAAGCAAAATGACATGTTTTTTTGTTTAGATTTCATATCCAAGTATCATTCCATATAGCTAAATGCATACACAGATCCTCCATCGTATCAGTAAAATCAACTAGAGCACACTGATAATGCACTAGAGAACACTGATAATGCACTAGAGATGACAAACGAGAAAAAACATTACCAGAAAGTCCGTTACTAATATAAGAGTACACTTCAGAGAAGATAGAAGAGATAATAAGCATATTGACCTTCTTTTCCGCTTCATCCTGCAGAAATCTTTCATGTGGAATATAGATACCATTCTTTTCCCTTGCTGCTCGAATATCTAAATTGTTTTGAAACAGAAAAGGGCAATTAGCAGCAATCCGCTATATGATATTCGGAAAAAGAAAAAGAAAAAATGAAAAAGAAATCATGAAACCTTGCTTCATCCTCTCGATTTCCACGTATAAATCCTTCAGCAACACAGCTTTGGAAACCTTTTGGTTTGCCTTCAGAATAAAATTATAGAGAAAAAAAGAAAAAAGTGAATTTTCTATATAAATCCAGAATCAGGCCCAAAAAAAGAACAACAAATCGAAACTCATATCAACCTCAGGTTTGTTTTTTATGCTTTTAGCACGATATGCGTAGTCCAGCGTGCTCAATGTTTCTTCCAAACAATGAGCAGAGGGAGATATTGTAGCAATAATGCAAGTCTTTGTTTTCCCTCCTAATGAATCTCTCAGGAGCCTTGTGAGCTTGCTATCTCTGCAAAACAAATGATAAAGACGATTAAATTCGAAGGCAATGTTTCTTACTCGATTAAAACCTGAGGTCCCCATACCTGTAAGGTATATGAACTGAATGCTCCACCAATGCATTAATAACACGACCTAAGGTTAGTAAACTCTTATTGATTTCTCCTGCTTCTCTTGCTCGAGCCTGGGCATTTCATGGTTAAGTGGAATAGACAATCAGAAAAACCATACTCTTATAAACAAACTTAAGAAGAAAAAGGTCTCTTTTAATTCATAACAAGTTGCTGAAAAAATAAAAAATAAAAAAGCAGCAGGAACATAGAGCAAAAAGGTTTAGACAGTGCCGTTAATTCACCTTAGGTTTGCACAACATTAAGACAAAACTATTTTTCTTGCCTTGAAGAGATGGATTACAAAATCGATCGTTCAATACTCGGATCATCAGTCAGTAACTTCTGATCACCATCTGACCGACAACCAAGGTACCAAAAACAGATGAATAGAATCCATTACCATTTCTGGAATTCTTTTCTCTAAACACAGTATATTTGCATAAAACAAAAACAGAAAATGAATGTGGAACTCAAGAAATGTCCATGTTTTGCTGACATCTGCAAAGCTTCAAGTATTACAATTATGCTCAATGTTCTCATCAAAATAAAGAGCAGAGAACTCTCACCTCTCGAGCACCAGAACGGTAGATATTCTCTGACCCCGCTAAATCGACAAGATTAAGCTTGCCGCACTTGATGAGCTCCTCATCCCCGATGCTCCCTTCTTTTATATATACAGTTATCGTAAATATTGAATGCGAACGACTGGAAACCATAAAGCCAATTCAATCATCAGCTAAATCATTTTTTCACAAAAAGAAATATAATAAACACACACAAACACACCACTACATAAAACAACAAAATCCCCACACACCTGCTTCTCTTATTCAACAATGTGTCTGCTGTGCGTCTCCTGGCGGCACCTCTCTCCAGAAGGCTGTAAATTTCATTTGCACTGTAAACAGCTTCCTCTTCAAGGCCCCTCACAATCACACAACCTTTTCCATCCTCCATTAGAGAGATGGGCTTCTTAGGTCTGTCCTCTGTGGGTTTAGGCTGATCTTCCTGAGCAAGCAGGTCGGTTATTTCCTCGTTATAGAGTTCCGAAAAGGTCACTTTCATGCTGTAGTCGGCATTCTGTTCCTCTAGAGTGTCGAATATTTGGCGGACGGCCCTTGGAATTATACCAGCCGCAATAGGCAATTCACCACTCTATACCCCAAAAAACAAAGAATCATAACCAAGAATACTTCAACATGAAATTTAGAAACTCTATTAGTAAAATCTCGAAAATTTAACTCTGCACCTTTTTTCTCATCCCCCCTTCCATTGTGTAGGTTTTACCAGTTCCAGTCTGGCCATATGCGAACACGGTGCAGTTGAAGCCCTCCAATACCTCACACACGATAGGCGAAATTGCTTGATCGTATATTGATCGTTGTTGCGCTTTCGGCCCAAATACCTTCGAAACATTGTAATTCACATTAGAAATTCTTGAATTCAAATTTCAAAGCTGTAAAAACGATACACTAGCTGGGAAAACCCATACCTTATCGAAGGTGAAGACCCTATCGACTTGCTTGCCGGCCACATTTTGCAGAACCGTAACCTCTCTTCTGCTATCGTTACAAGTTATTACCTTGGGCACGTTCGACCTTTGCTCGTCGTCAGTCAATGGCCTAGATTTGGTAACCGGATTAAAAACTCAGTGGACGAATCAAACCATAGATACATACTCGCGAATTAAACGAAAATACGAAATAATTCACCTGCATCGGAGCAGAACCTGAATGTTGACCTCCTTCTCCCTGTCCTGACGATTCGAGTTCCAATCATGTCCTCTCGAGTCCGGCCTCCGCCTTTCCGGCCGCGGCGTGAAGAACGGTGCCGGCGACGGCGCCAATCCCGTCCCCACCTTCCTGCAGTCCGGCGTCACTGAAACCATAGCTGTCAATTTTTTTTCAATTCACACCTCAAGAAACAGCGAAAAATGGGATAAAACCGAAAAAAATTGGACAAAATCACTTGAATCGAAACGAGAATTGTTCGCAATGAATTTTCTGATTTATAATTGATTACTGATTTCTCTGTTTTTTTTTTTTTTCCTCAAATTTTTTGGTGGTGAGGACTGAGAAGAGAGTGTGGTTTGAATTTGAATTTTATAACGGCTAGTGAGTGAATATACGAGGATTTGTTGATGGAGTAGAATTTAAAGACAGGTTTATAGTTTGAAGTTTGAATTCATTCATTGGTGTTTTGGAAGAAGAGGGACTTTATTCAAACTGGTCCGGTCGGACAAAATTCTACCGTTGCCAAAATCTAATAACATTGCAAATACATACAACTATTCGGGTCGGTTCAAACTCGATTCAACACTATTTTTTTTTTCTTAAATTTTATTATCCAATGTTTTCTAGTGTCGTGAGTAGGAGTGAGCAGAACAAAATAAAATTGAAACCGAAAATCGACCCGAGTCATGCAACTCGGAGCTGTTCTATTTCAGTTTCATAGTGGAAAATTTTTCGATTCAGTTTGTTTGTTCGATTTCTTTTTAAACGGTGGTACGGTTTAATTATTACTTTTTCGCAGGTTTGGGTTTAGATTTTTTTTTTTTCTTGCATCAAGCCGTACCGAATTAATTATACATGCATAGAAAAGTCGAGGTAAAATCGAAAATCTAGCCAAATCATGTATTTTGATACAATTCAAGTCGGTTATGTTGATATAAATAAATTTTAATTTTGGTTCGATTTTTTTCTATGTTGTAGTGCAGTTCGATTAATTTTGGGTAGTTTCGATTTTTCAATATTTGCGGCTCGGTTAGTTGCGGTTCAATACAAATCTGCACTGGACTCATAAGCTCTATATATGGATTTTTATTTTAAAATGACCCACAATTTAAAGTATAAATATGAATATTTGTTTAGAAAATACTTATGCAACAATTAAATTAAATATAAAAAAAAAAACACCATATGCAACATTGGAGTACACTATACCTATTTTACTTGCTGGTTTCTTTTTGAAATCATGATAGTTTTATTTATTTATTTATTTTTTCCTTATAAATAATCCAAATAAGGAGCTATTGCTAAGAAAAGAGGAGACATCATACCACATATCCACCAAGATTGAAAACAAATTGAACTATTTGAAACAGATAAGCAAGTAGCAAAAACGCAATTTCTAAAACACAACACCAAAGGGGAGAAAAATAAAAGTGTAACACACAACAAAACTACATCGAATCATTGTCCTCGACAATACAAACAAGAATCATGGACCGTTATTGCCCCGAATAAGTTTAAGGTAACGCATAGTTTGAGTGTGGTGCAAGAACTCGCCTGCATGATCATTTTCTCGTCCGGCCAAAGCAAAAGAAAAAAAAGGGGCAAACTGCAAAGTACCAAAATATCAGATAGGGACAGATCCGTAAAATACTACTTCGGCTGGGCCTGTCATGTAGATGTGATTGTCTTCCTCTCTCCACTCGATGTCCAATGGGCCTCCAGGCAAATCCACTCTACAGCTCTGTTTTTGCATGCAAAACGAACATGAGAAAAACGAGAAATGAAGAAACTAACGATTTACTTTCTTGGTCCCTAAGCCTATTGATCTCTTTCCCTCTCTCTTTCTTTTTTATTTTTAGATCCCTTAGCCTGTTAAATTTAGAGGCTTACCCTTCCTGTACGGCCCTCAAGCACTGCAGCAACCACAACAGCACAAGCTCCAGTTCCGCAAGCTAATGTTGCACCTGTAGAAAGAAGATAATTCAATAGCACGAGAAGTTCAAAGCTGAAATTGAAATAAAACAAAAATCTGTGTAAAGGGAAAAAAGTAAAACTTGTCATTTCAGAAAAATAATAAACCTGCCCCACGCTCCCAAACACGCATTTTAACATGACTTGGAGAGAAAACTTGAACGAACTCTGCAACGCAACAGACAATATGTTTATCGAGTGGAAGATATGTCGCAATAATAATTCAAGCACCATGTTAATTTTGACATAAAAAGTTATATTTTTTAAATTTCAGTACTTGAGATAGATATCCAACTCTTTGGTAATGACGGTTAAAAACTGATACCAGTGTTAGTTCGTGCTGGAAACACAGCATGATGCTCGAATTTCGGGCCAATTTCAGCTAAATTTAGCTTATCGACTTCCAAGTCCTGTACAATTACAAGCTCAAAGGACCAAAAAAAAAAAAAAAAAAAAAAGGATGATAAGTGATGAACAAAAGAGATCGATCGAAAACCAACTAAACCCAAAAACAGTTGTAATTATTAGATGGTATGTATATACCTTACTGGTTTCTGTACTGAAAGTTACACAATGAGGATTTCCCATGCTAACGCAAGTCACATTCCAGATCGAGCCATCTACATCCAATCTTGCCTTAACTACAGCCTGATCGTTATTTGGAGCCAATTTTGTAGGAACCTCTGATGCCTTCAAAATTGGCACGCCCATATCAACTCTGACCTGAAAAATATGATAAAGTGCTGAAGTTGTCTTAGATACGGAGAGCAAAGAAGTTTCTGAGCGTAGAACCACAAGGAATAATAAAGTGCACGCAAGTCGAGCAATTCTAGGTGTACCTTTCCATCTTCTTGAATTTCAGGAACAATTAAACCTGCACCAGTGTGTACAGTAAAGCTGCAGTAACAAATAAGATGTGAGGCAGATAATATGAAGCATGACCAAGATCATAATTCATTCTAACAGGTAGATATGAGTTATATATACAAGAGAAAAAGTAAGTGAACTCTGTGAAGCATGAAAGTGGCAAGAGCTTGGTAGCAAAATTTGAAGAGAGATAGGAAGGAACTCAATTAACCTCTGCTTGCCATTCAGATTCTCGAGCTCAGCTATAAATCTGGCAAAGCACCGAACTCCATTGCCACACATCTGTGACCGGATAATAAGTGACCTCATCAAGACAAGAACATAAGCATATATGTGGAACAATGCAGACAACTATCTTACAATCTTGGGATGCTCTCTAAAGAAATACGGATGGAGAATAGAAATGAAATGATAAACCATATGATCTCATCCTTTTGCTTTTTTTTTTTTTTTTTTCTTCTCTTACTGTAAACTAAAAGGCAGAAGTTTATTATGCGAAGTCGTGTGCGGCTCTATTATTATTAGTTATTACTGTTTTTCATTGATAAGCAGCAAATGAAGCAGACTCATTTTTGGGTTTCTTTTATGCTCTCAAGACATAACACCATTCTTCAAAAAAACTCCGGCAGAATATTACATTTGAAGATGTGAACTTCATGACATATTACATGAACCTCAATTGCAATGTCCAAAATAAAGCAACCCTTGATTCAAGAAATGACAGATTACCTCAGGTTCACTACCATCGGAATTAAAGATCCTCATGGTATAATCAGTGCCATTGGTGCCTGGCATTGCAAATATCACCCCGTCGGCTCCAATCCCAAAGTTCCTATCACACATTTTGACTGCTTGTTCCGGTGTAACTTTGGGCTCGGTTGAATCTCGATTATCAACCTAACTTATCAAATCATACAGGCACAAAAAGTACTCATCCAGATAATTAACCCGAGACAAAAAATGTAAATGGAAAACATGAACTGACAAGGAACCAGCTTCTATACCTATTTCAAGTCAAGATTGAACAGCCTAATTGATATTTATTAACTTTGAGAGCAAAACAAAGCTGAATACACTCAAATTGAAAATACAATAACATCATTTCAGATTGAGATAGAAGCTGGTGCTTGGTGCACAAACCAAACATAACCAACAGATTATTGCAACAGATGATGCATTTTTCACATGAGTCATACCAAAATGAAGTCATTCCCAAGCCCATGATACTTGACGAAATGAAGAACTCCGCTCTCCCTACGATCGAGAAAAGACGTCGTGGAGTCCGCCTCCGGCGCCTGAACGGCCATTGAGGAGGAGATTTGGAAACCGGGTCGGGTTTTGCCCGCTCGAAGGGAGACCGGTTTCAGGGAATTAGGATTGTGAAACGGCGCAGTGGAGAGACGAGAGACGGAAGGAGCTGTGAAAGTGGAGGAAAGCGATCGCCGGCTGACGGCCGTGGACGGCAGAGTTATGGCGGCGGCAATCGCCATTGGCGTCGGCTGTCTAGAAAGAGGGTAAAAGGCAGAATAGAGTTGTCGATTGCCAAAGGGTATAATAGAACATTAATTAGACTAACAACTAGTGAAATTGCATTTTTTTTTTTTTGATAATTCTTCTTTTAGCTTTTTTTTTTTTTAATAAATATGTTTAATTTTATTTGAAAGACATCATAATTTTAAGAATAATAATATAAATAAAATATGTTTAATTTTATTTGAAAGACATCATAATTTAAAGAATAATAATATAAATAAAAGTATAAAATTTGATATTATAAATAAATATTTTATGTCATAACGGAAATCAATACATCACCAAAAAATTACATAATTTTGTACTATACAATAATTTGATATTTTGTGAATAAATAAAGGGAAATGCTACGGTCCCGTTACTGAACTATTCCGTCGGGATTTGTTACCATTGGATCATCATGTAACCGTTGAGGATAATTAATCTAACAGTTACAAACTCCGACAGAATGATTCTGTAACGGGACTGTACATCTCCCATAAATATATATTATTATAAAATATACAAAAAATTACATTTTTTTTTTTAGTTACAATAATTAATGAACTATTGATTAATTTGATGGTTTGTTTTTTTAATTGTAAAATTATGTTGTATGCTTCTGCATTGAAGTTCTTGGGGGAATTTTAGCTAGTTTTTAGCAAATTATTTATTTCTGTATTGTAGGTTGGTGGTGTCTGGTTTTGTAGAAGGATTCTGATTTTATTTTAATTTTTTTTCTTCTGGATTAATATTGATACTTTTTAAAATTAAAACACACCTAAAGTAGGATTTCGCCTTTGTAAATAATTCCTCAATTCATTAAGTCTAAGGTTATATTTGGTAAACAAATAAGCTAACTTATAACATATTTGGTTAGCTTATAAGATCCCTATATTCAAATAAGTCTTGTTTGGTAGGACGAGTTTTTTCGAAAAGCTCGATCTTATTTAATAAGCTTCTTTATGTAGCATTTTAAATAAGGTTGTTTGTCCCATTTTTGTTGCATTTTTTGTTATTATTTTCTCATTCTTTTTCCCCTATTTTGAGTCATTTAGTTGGTTTTAGGTTCATTTTGTCGTTTATTGTGTGTT